GTCGGAACGTGGTCGATGAAGACGAGAAGAAATCAATGCCTCGGCCAGCGTCCGGTTCACCTTCTACATACCAGCATCTTCCCCTTCCATCTCTCCCTCTTGCCTTCGCTCTTTTCCTATTTCTCTTTTTTCATTTCAATTTTTGTCTTTTCCGTTTGCTTTCTATCACTCCTGTTTTGGACCGCTCACTTTTTTCTCTTTTCAAATATAAAAACGTGCAATAACTTAAATATCACAATTTCAAAATCAGATATTGGAATAATACCAATATATGGAGATCTATTTTATAATTATAACTAATGTTCATCCAAATTAGTGAAGGGACACTTTAAAAAAATACATATGCATGAGATTTTGCCTAAGAAATTTGTTTAACAATCCTTTTAAATACTTAATGTATTTAAGATTAATATATATTTTATTTTTTACTTTATCATCGATTGTATTATTCTAATTAAATATTGAAGATTGAGGAAAATTATTGGAGTACATCCTGTGTACTTATTTCATTGAAACGTCTAAAAAAACGTTCTGTTCGCGATTTGTAATTAAAACGCAAATATCAATGTGTAAATATTAATGATTAATTAAATCAAAAAATTTTAATAAATGTTTAAAACATTTAAATATGTAAATTCAGATTGCTGAACTGAGACACTCTCCAGTAAGCCAAATTGTTGTAATGGCATCTTTGAACAAGTCGATGAGAATACTCAGTTTCTCGTTAAGTTCGCTCGCGAGGACGTGCGAAGGGAACATTCGAACTTGCGGCACTCGCAAAGGACGCAGGAGCGATGGGACGGGAGAATTAGCGGAGACGGAGTACCCTCTCGCGCACAAGATTTCCGGGAGTTTAATATAGTTTTAGGGGCGTCGGTCGACAGCCCTGAGGGGTGTAATGGCGTCTTAAACCTCAGGGGTTCTCAGCCCCGAATCTCTCCTCGGCCCTCAAAGGAGCCAACTGAAGCTTCATCCGCTTCCCTCTCTCGCTGTTAAAAATTCGCAAGCGTCGAATCTCAACTGCCGCCGCCGGTTAAATCTTTGATCTCGCCACTCCTCGGGGCCGCAGAGGTATACATGCGCAGGACTGCGGTACAGAATGCATCCCGTGTGCATTTAGATCGAAACCTCCCGGTGCTTTCCGCATAAGGGATAAGGACGGATAAGGCGCGCTCCGACGGTGCTTGATTTTTACGAGCGCGTAAATTCCGAGAGACGCTCGGCTTTTTTTTTCTCTCCATCCGACTTACCTCTTCTTCGAAAATTCCTCTATTCTCGGTGAATCCGCTCCTATAATTTATACGGTTTCCAATTGTTGATCGAATCATGTACGAATTGTCAAAGCTAAATTGTCGCAATTTACAGAAATTTCTTAGCGAATATTGAAAAATCACATTGAAAGTATTGATAATGCAATTTCGTACATATATAATTTTAATTCGAAATATTATTAGATCGTTTTATTTTTCGAATATTTCAGTTTTTCAATGAAGTTTGATTTATGAAGTTATGATTGACTTATCAATCATTAACTTTTTTTCTCAAAGTCTCTAATTTAATAATTGCGTAATATAATTCTGTGATTCAAATCAATGCAATATTATATAATATAAATTCGAGGAATTTTGTTAAAAGACGCAGGATCTGTAATAAAATTCTAAAATTGATTGCAAATTTATTAAAACTGATGAATTTCTTATGTCACTTGAAGAATTGAACACCGTTTTGACATTTCTTACACGAACACATAAGACCACGTACGTTCTGCATGTGCCGTATTCTATATTCTTTATTTTCCTTCCGAAAATTCCTCCTTCGTCTCCTTTCGAAAATTCTTTCGCTCGCAGTTGGAATTTTCCGTTCATACTCGGAGTATTATTGATCATCGATCACCGTTCCGGTCACGTTCTTGAAGCTGCATTGTCTTGCCTTTGCAAGAAAATATTGGTATTCATGAATAACGTAAACATGCAATCTACAACAAGGTTCGATAAAATTTTCATTGGGACTAGATCGACCCTCTCGATTAGTCAATAATTAATAGTAGTAACAGTATTCACGAAGAATTGCAACGTTCGGTCTTGCGCGCAACGCGGATAACGCATCGCAAGTCCTGGGTAACTCGTTGCTTTCAACGAATTTATTAACGCGGTTATTTTGACACAGACAATTCCACCGAAGGAATAAACCCGACGGATCCGAGAGAGTTCCGACGGCTCTTGATTTTTATGAGCGCGTAAATTTCCGGCGGCTCCTTTTCTTTCTGCCCTGTCTTTCTCTTCTTTACTTTGTTTCCGAGAAACGAGAATCCCAGTAGACCCGGCGTTCCATTTCTACACATTATTCTCCCCCTCTCCTCCTTTCTTTCCCCCGTCCTCTTAATCCTTCGTTTTCTCAAGAAAATGATATTTTAAAGTGCCATCCTCTCTTTCCCGCATATGAACGCTGAACTTAATATCTTCCCGGCCGCTAAAAAATGCCGCGGTTCGCGCTAGCTGCATCAACAATATAAGGGAATAAAAATAGTGACATTATCTCTTAGATAGCAAATTGCGTAGAGTATACCACTGAATAAAACATGATGCACCGTGAAATTAATATAAGTTATATAAGTGGTAATATATATAATAAATAATATGTAAGGTATTTTATACTATGTATATACCGTATTTTTCTTTCGAAATCTCTGATATTTATGACAAAATTTTTGATAAATTTAAAATCGATATATTTTTTATTTAGAATGATTCGAGAAAGTTATTTTATATCCTGAAAGTTAATCTTGAATATCTAAGATAAAATTTTATTTTTTATTTAATTATATAATTAATATATTTTACATCGGCTCAGTATATACAGAAGACGAATTTTGAAGAAGTGTTTGTACCAAGGGATTTTGGATTTTCAAATGGCCGTTTCGCCTGGCAGAAGTAATATTCCGTAACCATGGCGAAGTCGTTGCGATATAGACGCGAAACGGGCAACCTCGGTGCGAGCGCTCGGACGGTTCTTGATTTTACGAGCTCATAAATTTCAAACGGCCGCCCTGCGCTTTTCCACCCCCGTCCTGGCTTCCATCGGCGCTTAACTCCGCGAAAATTCTATCCGTTTCGTCTCACCCCCTCCGGGGGTTCACTCGGGTAGAATTCCGAGGAATTTCATCGAGCGGCGGACTCGTCGGATTCCTACGGTACACCCTCCACAAAAGCGCGTCCTTAACTCTGAATCCGCGCGTGAATCTTGATCCGAAGGGCAGCGTAACTATGCGACTGATGTTCGCATAAAACGACTGTATGAAGCCTTGTGCGCGATACATAAACGTTGATAAAGTGGAAGTGAATAGTGCACCTGATAAAATGAGTCAAATTTCACAGAAAACCATTGCCTAATAATATGTCATTCAATAAATATATATCTAATTATTGTATGTCCTAACGACAATGTTTTTTTCATTTTTTTTACTTTAAGATTCGAGATAATTGCTATATATATTTTAGAAAAAATATGAATAATATATCAGAGAAGTTTTAATAGAGATTATCAGACAAAAAAACAGAGAAACGTTATTAAGCTCGTAGTGATTTACACGCGAAGTATAAATGTCGAAATTAAAATCAAATTGTAAGATATCGCATCGCGAGCACAAGGTAACTAATATACACATCCTAAATTAAGCTCCACCGGATCGATGTTCGTGGCACCTCGCATTGACTCGAATTTCGGGAAAGATACCGCATCTCCGTGGATATGGGTCATCACGTCCGGTCCCGAGAAATCCCCGGGAAGAAGTAGCCGATATTTTTTCCCGGATAGGAAATCAAGATCGCGGCCGGGTATAATCGCGAGGGCGATCGACGGCCCGGTCGTATCGGCGGGGGCGAGATTGAAGGCCCGGCTAACGAGTTGTTTATGGATCCACCCTCCGCGCCCGTGGCGTCCGTGCCGATGCCGAGAGGGCGAGTGTGTACGTACGTTGTGTACCGGTTGCTTGGCCAGACGTATATGGACGTACGGGGGAGTCCATTAACGGGCCCTCCGTTGCCCACCGGCAGCGTAGTTCGCATCGTCGTCGTGCCACCACCACCCCTCGGCAGGCAGCCGCTTTCTCTCTCGCCCTCAGTCAGCAGCAGCCGGGTTATCCCGCCGGTAGTCATGGTAACACGTGGGTTGGAGCCGCCCCCGGCCGCCAATCAGAGCACGGCGGCCAGGATGAGAGAAACGAGCGGCGACCCTTCGAGCCGGGGTTCTCTCCTCGCCCCTTAGACAACGAACCCCTACAGTGGAGCACATAGACACCCCTTTCCACTATTCGCTCTTCTCTCGGTCCGTCTCTCTCGCTGCCTTTTCTCGCCGCCGGGGTGGCTGAGATTCTCGCTTGGGAGGAAATCTTAACCGGGCGTGCCCCGCATCGCTGATGCCACCTACACCCGTCTTGCGAGGTGGCTAGCCTTCCATGCCCTCCGTCTTCCTTCCTCCCCCGCATCCCCCTTCCTCCACGGCTTAAGGAGAGTCTTGACCGAATAGGATAGAGCTGGCAGCACTTCAGTACTTTTGGGATTAACGTGCATGCTCGCTGGAATGCGACAGGCGGAAGAGGGAAGCTGGATTGCGCTGTTCGAGTTTTCCAATTCCCTTTTTAAGTTCATTGTACTTGACGATGAATTGTCTTATAGATAATTCGAGTAAAACAACACGTTGTATCTGTATTCATAGACAAAGAGAGTTTCACTAACAAAAGAATTATCAGATGTGTGTCACTATTTTATTTAAAAAAATTATGAAATATTGTGAGATAAATTTTTGTAATTGAAACTTTCCTATAATATTCCTTCCTATTCTATATGTATTTCTAATTATTGCATATCGGTATAGAATATTCCATGATAGATAAAAATTTACAATTGAATAATTATTTTTATCTTTCATCAGTTAAGTACGTTCGGATATCGATCGACCGGAAAACTTAATTCTAAACAATTTCTATGTCCTTTCTGTTACAGGTGAGAAACCTCACAAATGTCAGGTGTGCGGCAAAGCGTTCTCGCAAAGCAGCAATCTGATCACGCACTCGAGAAAGCACACGGGTTACAAGCCGTTCGCCTGCGAACTCTGCGGCCGAGCTTTTCAGCGTAAGGTCGATTTGAGGAGGCATCGCGAGACCCAGCACGCAGACCTGAACGCGTCGCATCGACCGCCGATTGGCTCGATTCCCGGACAGAATTCCCTGCCCAGTGGAAATCCACCGATGATGCAGTGAGACCGCGACGAGGAAGCGGTTGATAATCCGGCGCCAGATTGATACGGAACGATGATTGGAGATTGTCGCAATTAGCGACTCTTTTCCGCGAATCCCTTCAGGCAATCCAGCCGGATTGAGGATGCAACTATATAAGTAATGAAATCATAAATGACGATCTCCACGATCGTCGATGGCGGAGAAGAGAGCGATAAATTAATCTCATGGATAGAATCGCGAGTGAAGCGATTGCGGATTGCATCATGGTGAACTGATGGCTGGAGAATATTAACTTCTTGCTTTTTGTATTATTGTCTATTTTTAATAAACTTAAACAGAAAAAAAGATAGGAAAAAAATCAACTTGACGTTGAAAAAACGTCAACATCACTTGAGAGACGAATTTATGAACTAAATTTACAATTTTAATTTAATATCAAGGTAAAAAGAATTACATTATATATTGTTTAGAAGAATAATTGATTTTAACTAAAAATATATGTGTGTATATTGCAGTAACGTAAAAAATTATCAAAAAGCAAAATGTTAATATCGATGTAACGCGGATTACATTGAGGATACAAGAGTTCATGTAAATTCAGATCGCATAACAGATGCGAAATTAACCGGAACAGTGCAATTCGAGAGTGAACTCTCGGGATGAAGTAAAATTTGCCGGAAAGGGGGTACCGTAGCATTTTTTTATCGCGAGATCTTTATTGATCTTTTGACGTTAGGGCGAGGAGACTGAATAAGTTGATATTTATTCGACCATTGGTTTCGCGCGCGTCTATTTTAATCTAACGCGAATATCCCACGACTTCGAGGACCTCTTAACTTGCGGAATATACTCAGGATAAATGGAGAAAGTGAATTGGTGAATCGTTGCGACTGGACATTCCATGAAAAAAAAGCGCTTGCATCCGTTTCGTTCCTAAGTGAAGTAAGTGTGTGCCGGGGTTTGGTTTCTTCAGTGATTTTTATTCGGGGACGGAAAACTTTTTGCGGTGAGAAACGATAATTTATGAATTATAACGATAAGCGTGAAAGTAAATGGACTGACAACTGTTTTTGTTACGGATAACGATGAACACTTTCTATATTTTAATCGTCTAGTTACCTGCAAATCGATTACCTGTTACTGTAACTTCTCTTATTGCGTAGATATTCTCACGACACGCAGTACGACCGTCGAGCTAATCGGACACATTTTACAAGACTATAACTTTATGAAGATGTCAGAAATTTATGTAAATTGCATTTATTATTGAAATTAAGATTTTTTTTAATTAAAAATCTACAAACAACATTACGTCATTTTTAATATAGAAGAAATAATATATAATTTAAGAACTACACTTTTTTATATTACATTTAAATGTACTTCTTAAGTGTAAACAACGTCCGAGTAACATGATCAATGGTGTACAACGTGTCGAAGTACGTGGCGAGAACGTACTGTATTTTGCATATCTCCCGCACCTGTCGTTAAAAAAGAAAAGAGTCATCAAGACCACCAACCCCTAAAGTTGCAACTGTGACCAAAAATTGTAAATAGCACGTAGATCGTATCACGGCTAGTCTAAGCGTATAAATATATACATATAAATAAATCGAAGCTATAAATATTATAAATAGAGAGGGCACGTAATGTGCGCGGCGCAAAGAGTCGTACCGACTAATGGCGGCTCGCTCGCCGTGTGGCCTCACCAAGAAGTTATTATATTCTTCCCTTTTTCTCGCTATCGAAATTTTTATTGTTGTACCATTAATATCATTATGTAATTATTGTAATTAGAGACTCGCTATTAATATTATTGTCATTATTATTAACAATAAACGCTGTTACCATTTGTAAACCCTTCGCTTCTGTCTAACAATCTCTTTCCCTTCTTTAAGCATTCGAAGCGTTTTTATTAAAATATATTTTTCTCTTATTTATTTTCTTGCAATATGTATATATAATTACGGTACCGAATTAACATAAAAAATAATTTTTTAAATAATATATTGACGTTATATAAATATTAGATTGACGTGCATTACATGCACGTCATATTATCAAAGTCGAAATGAAGAAATACCTAACCGAAAATAATTACATTGGGAAATATTTTCAGGATACGCGTCTTCATTTAAATGGTCCTTCCACTTTCCGTCCAAGTCGATAGCTCGATTAATCAAGGTCGCTGAATCTGGCACTGCCGGATCACGATCGTCCCAGCTTCACTCGCTGTAATTCAGGGTTAAACGGCCGTGCCAATTAAGCAGACTACCCTGAAGAACCCCTTAACAGCCCAATATGTTTTCTGCCGGAGAGAGTTACCCTGAACTTCCCCTCCCTCCCGCCGCTCATTATTTCGCGCAGGAGGGGGAGGGGTGTACGATGCGCTACGTTGGGGCGGACGTGAGATTTTCCGTAAGCTAGTCGTTTACAGCTCCCATCGTCTGTACCAATCGTGCAGGACGTCGCAGGAGATAAAGGATAAGGGCCGGCGAAAGAGAGAAGAAAGATAGGGAACGATTCGAAAAATTTATCTGCGAGAGAGATAGGCGTGGAGAAAGATAAATAGAGAGCGAGACAGAGGCTGTGGAGGGACATTACAGCACAGACTGCACGACACCATGACGCAGCCACGGGAGCAGATTGGACAGTTATTGCATTCTGGGTAAGATTAATTGATATGGGGACCAGTGGGTGGGCCGAAAGGGCGCGCGCGGCTACGTTGGCGCTTAAACCTTGTCTCAGGCTGTACGAGCCCGGGGATGAGAGAGCGGTGATTAACCGATTGCACTGCGAACCGAGCGGAACCGAAAACCATCCCTCCCGCGTGCTTCCTAATAGCCATTGAGTAATAGAGAGCCGTTCATTATTAAATAGCATCGGGCCGCGCCAAGACGTACGTGAGACATCATCATATTAGGTTCAGGCACTTGTAAAACAGTTCCAACGTATCGTAAACTAAGTAATAAATTTTTTAACATTTATTTATATTTTGCAGCAATTTTAATTGCCTGCATTACATTGCCTGTGATACCTAAACGGTTTCTGAATCTCGAAACATCAACCTCTTCCTACCCATCCCGAGTACGCAACGAGAGTGCGGAGTCAATAAGTTGGATCGCAGTGACAAAATGATCCCGTAACGATCTGCGCGCGGCGTTGAAAATTGTCCGAACAATTTTGCGAAGTACCGTGCGATCGTAATACCTCGTGTCATTGGTGCCGCCCCGTCGTGAGTACCAATCGCGCGAATATTCCCGGCTATCGCAATTTCTGCGACACCACTTTAGCAACAGCCAGCGGCTGTGTGTTGCGGTATCGCCTCGCGCGCTCCGCCTCATCGTGTTCTCGCGGAGAACAGCCGTCCAGGGTTGTATCATCTTCGTGCAGCTGCCGGCTATGGAATGTTCGAATACGTTTTAGGGGACAACTCCATATACTCGCCGTATGCGGATACACCTTATGACTATTAAGGTATTCACGGCCCCTCGGAGGACGCCCCAGTTTGAAATATGGCGACTCGGGTCACCCGCCGGCGTACACCGCCAGTCAGAGACGCCGCTATCTCGTTCTCCCCCTTCCGTCGTTTTCAATCCCCCTTCTCCCCCCCCCCGCTCCCCCAACCACTGCGGCACCGTTTTTCCTTTTTCGTATTCCTTTCCTCGTGTCCTTGTACACGTACACCGTTCGGCGGAGTGTCGCACGATGGAGAGGGCCGCATCCCCGCGCACATACCGCGGTTTTCCATATTATTTACAACCCCCCCCGTCCTGCACGTTGCCCCCGCAATAACTCGGTCCGGATCCGCGCGAACGCGCGCGAGCGTGTCGCCAAATTGGTGGAAACCATACGAGAACGTCGTAACCTGTCTCGGCCTGTGACAACTCTGAGTGATGTAGTGGCACGAGGATCCGACATACGGATGTGTCCGTTAGAGGACGAAGGGAAATATGATTGCACGACGTAATTTAAGGTTGATCCTGATGGTTTTGTTGCGGCTCGAAGACGCGCGTTGTAATTGGCCATCGATGAAAAGTGCCATTATTAAAAGATACCGTATTATTACTTATTAAAAATAACATTTATTAGAAAAAGCTTTATATAATTTAGAAAAATATTAAGTTTGTAAATTTTAGAGAAAAATTCGCTAAACTTTTAAATAAGCAAACGAAGATATTGATTTGCTGTTTTATTACTCTATGTGACAGGTATGCAAGATAATATTGAAATGATAAACGAACAGTAAATTTTAACAAAGCAATTTTTAAATCTCTTAAATTATACTATTATATTATATTTTTCTTTACTTTATTAAAAAATTAAAACAAAATTAAGACCGATGTTAAAAACGACTTTATTTGAATTAGACATCATATTTATTTAATTAAAACCACCTTCCATCAATGGCATCAATATTAATCAATTCATTCATCTGCGCATAATATGCTTCGTCGATTTATAATACATATGTATAAATTACTTTAAATTTGGCTAAACAATTCTTTTAAATCGCTTTAATGTTACGACATCGATTTTCCTGTTTTTTTCTCATCATTAGCGCAGAAAAAAAATATATATCTATAAATAATGCATTCTGTTAACGCAAATATTTCCTTATTGAAAATTATTATTCCTACATTTTTACCACGCGCAATTATTATACGCGTTTTTGCGACTACTTTTTTGTGTGTATCTCGTTCTTTATTCCTCTGCTCGTCGAGTTTTCAAGCCAACGAGTGACCGGATAGCGAAATCTCATTTCGCGAAAATGCGTCCCGGATGCTGCGTGGATTTGCACGTCAGTTGCATTTGCACGGGTCAACCGGATTAAAAAACGTCGATGTCCAATTATCGTCGGACACCGCGCGGCTAATGGAATTTTTGAGAGGGAGATTAGGGGAACTCGCGCGCACACGGTTCATGCAATTTTCGTGCGTTGCGTGCCGCGAGCTAATTCGTTCCACGCGCGGATCGTGACGGAGATATGTTCCTTCCGTTGACGGAAACGTGCGCAGGAACAAGCGCAATTTCGCTCACGATCACTTACAGTTAGAGCACACATAGGTCAAATAGTAACTAATTCGCGCGTGCACGCTCCCTCGTCAATTCGGCTGACGTAGCATCCGGCAGGATCGCTTGTGGCTCCTCCAGAAATTATCAAACATTTCCGAATGCGTTTGGAAGCTGCAACTGTGCATGGCTAGCTAAACAGTGATCCGTTTTTCTTCATTTTCTTCTTTTTTTTTTGCTCTTTTTAAATAGTCCGACATTTCGATCGATCAGGCGACAGACTGTCACGGATGCAGCCATTTATCAGTAGGCTTCTCTAATAACGAGGCGACTCTCTCTTTCTTCCGTGCACCGCGCGACTTTAAACAAATAGCTCGACATGGAAAGCGGGAAGAGGAAAACAAATGGTCGTTTACGCCTGCGAGGAAGAAAAGGGCACGTCGCGCGTTCCGGCGATCAATCAAGCGTCTCCGGCCGGACTTAATACAGTCAGAGATCGATTGAATTCTGACTTGCATGGATCCGTATATATATAATATAAAACGTTTTCGTGAATTTTTATTGAAGGATTTCATAGAGAACTTTTCCTCGTGGTACCGTTATATCAGAGAGAAATATAAAATTTGTTATATTGAAAAAAATTATCTGCATTTTGTCATTAAAATAAAACATTTGTGATTTAGATTTGTGTATGATTAAAATTATATTTAATTAGGCTCAAATTAATAATATCGATAATACAATATCAAGATTAAAATCAAAATTAAGTCGATTTAGATTGGAATTAAGAGAGTATAAGATCTTTGTTCAAGAAAAACCCTTTTTAATAAAAAAATCCACAAACAAGGGAAACAAGCAGGAGTAACCTGTAGCGTGACAATGCCATTTCCAATCAACTATAAAGTCTTCTAGTAAGTCTTCGGGAATCAACGAGTGCGCACAAATAGGCTTGGCGATCCGCACGAAGGTGATGACGACGCTCCCATGGGCGTCCGATTCATTACCCATCCTGAATAAATGATCATCCACGGTCGCGGGTGGCTATCCACGGGAATGCCGGCCAGAGAATACTTCGGAAAAGTGATTATTCGTCGATGCTATGTCGTCCTCGGCGAAATCGACCCCCAAGGACATGCATCGTACCTCGCTGAAGCAACCGTGGCATCGTGTATCTCCTTCGGCTGCATCATTGATGAGCGGGATCAACGAATTCTCCCCGCCTCTCTTCAGTACCTTTAGCTCTCGATTCTTCCTACGTTTTACGCGACGACATGTGTTGCACTGACATAAACATTATGAGACAGATTAATGAGGGAGATTAGATAATCATTCAATGCATATAAATTGATAAAAATAGCGTATTTTTATAAAAACTTTTGACTAAAATTTAGTTTAGCTTTGTTTAATTTCTCAAAAAAATTAATGATTTTAAGTATTTCTTAACTTTAGCAGCAAGACATGAATAATAAATTTCCTTCAGAAAAACAAAAATATTACCTCGGTATGATCACTTATACGATTGCCTTCATTTAATAATAAGTTATCAATTATTATATAACAATTTCATATTTTATGTTAATTTCATTTTAATTTTTGCCAATTTTATATAACCCGTTACAATTTCAAATCATTAGTTATCATTGTAACTACTTAAAAACCTTATTGAATACATAGATTTTATTTAGCTATATAAACACAACTATACTCGGAATCTCTCATCCTTTGATCGCAATTTTTTTCCAGCTATTCGCATTTATCGCTCCCACGCGTAACATCTCATCGGCGGTGCAAATGGAAATATAATCATCCCTCCTCCACCTCGTGGTACCGTGCATAATTCCGCGATCGACCTCGTCGATGTCGCGGACCGTATCGCCGCCTGGACCACGTAGCAGCCGTAACTCAGTTTCCAAACGGATCGTCTCCCAGGAATACTTTATGCGTACTACACGTCATTCCAACCGCCTAGTTCGGAAAGATGGAGGTCGTCCGTGGATGGGGTGGTAGGGACCGCGGAAGACACGGATCCTTAAGTATTCTACGCGTCGTGCGGGACTAGTGCATCGGTCTTAAGATGGCGGCGAGGGAGGAGGGTTCCGCGAGATAGGACTGCGCCGATACCCTTTCGCCGGGAGAGGAAAACGGCGGTGGTAGGAGGTCCTTGGGTAATCATATAAGGATAGCTGGAGTCGCGCGAGGAAGATCGGGTATCAACTTTTGATCCTCCGATATCTCCGACAGCCTGCCGGGCCCCTTCTAACCATGGAGGAGTGTGTCTGTATTCAAACGGCTCTAACTCGATATAAGCGGCGCTCCCAGAGGCATCCTTCCGCTGAGGAGGACGGGGAGGATGAGTTGGAGGACACCAGACCCTCCCTACCTTGTCGCTCACGCCCACCCCCTCTTTGGATCTTCGGAAATAAGAGTATCCCGTGTAGCCGGTGCCTCCAATCGAATTTACATCTCGACTGCTTCTGCTCCCATCCCCCGAAGACGCGGGGGGTGGATCCTCGACTTCGCCAAAGTGCTATCTGCTATGATCCCGCATGGATGCGGGCGCGTAGCGACCACGAAAATGGTCGACACTGTGGTCAACTACGGCATTTTGAAGCATGATGCGATGAGATATCGGATGGAGGCGCAGATGTCTTTTGACGAATATAGGTTCTCGGAGAATAACTGATCCCATGTATAAAAATATAAATTTACTAGTCTTGAAATAGAGAATGTTTCGTACACAATAAAATGACTATATTAAATAAGAAAATAATAATTAGTTAAAGACATAATTGTTTACGTCAAAATTTTAAGGAAGAGTAAAATTTATTTGTAAACTATTTCGTAACTGTTGCAATGAATAAATAAATTAGTAAATTGATGATTGAATCTTGCGTTATCGCATTATTGAATCCTATTATATAAACCTATTTAAATATCAATTATTAAATTTTTTAATGTAATAATACTAATGCTACTAGCAATAGTAATATTGATTTGTATTTTAGAACATGTATTTATTTTTAATTAAATTTTTCTTATATTCTTATATTCTAAATTTGACGATAATAATTTTATAAATTGAAGTTTGTGCATAATAATAAATCTTAATTTTATTAGTTGGTTATTAATTTTAAATTAATTTTATTTCTAATTTAATAGAGTTTATGTTAACAAAAATATCTACTTTAACGTAGATGATAAGAGAGCAGTCTACATTGATTGCAGATGGATACAATGATTTCTATATCATCTAAACAACAGTGATAAATATCATTGAACAGTAAAATAGAAACACGTGTCAATCATTTTTGTATTTACAAAAAGTTTTACATTTGTTATATATTAGAAAACATAAAATCAGAATTTGGATATCATTTTAACGTAATAAGTATTACTCAGAGATATCTAGCATGGAATATTGCTTCGACAAATACTCGTCGCTTATAGATCATTGATCAAAAGTTAATTATTCTAATTAATAATTTCCAATCATAAAATATGCGATCGCGCATCGTATGTATGTATGTACACGTGTATCGTTACACACAGCTCTCCTCGATTATACCTGCGTGTTCGACTGTCGGTGAATGAATGATACAGTCGAACCTCGAATGATAATTCAAACCTCTATAAAACAAAAATTTTGTTTATCCCCTTCCACGCTGCTGCGGAAAACTTCTATAAATCAAAATAAAACCTATCTTAACTCGAATTCTTTGTCAGAAATTTAGATATATATTTTACCTCTGTAACTCGAATTTCAAGTAGCTAGACCTCTACAAGTTCATCTCTATAAGTCGAACTTCCATTGTCGCTACCCCTATAATTCGAAGTTGTAGCTATATGTATAACCACGTAAGTAATAGCCTGGTATTTTGTTTTATGGTTACATTTATATTCATATGTATGCAATAAAAAATCACTGTAAATATTGATTTTCTTCTTCTAAAAGCTATTATAATTGGAAAATTATAAACTCTCGTACAAAGCTTCCGTAAGTCAAATTTTCATATGTTAACCCTCTTTTACTCAAATTTCGATAAATCGAAAACTTTATAAGTTTTCGAACAATTTTTCTAATCCATTGAGATTCGAGTTATCGTGGTTCGACTGTATAAGGCACTGTGGTGCTTTCAAGTCATGCGTCGAGCGCCGACCTTTATTTAGCTCGAGAGTTCGAAATGTTCAATGTGCTGTAAAAAAAAAATACATTGGTTATTATGTTCAATCTATCACGAATGCAAGTTTGATTTGTCAAAAATTGAATTTTCTTTAATCATTTACATTGTATTCATAAAATTAGTTTCACTATTAGATACGAAAATAAACAGCTAATATTGCCAAACAGAGGAAAATGGGTAACGGTTACAGTCAGAAGCCGTAAAGTGATCAGTTCAGACCTAAAGATTATATTATCAAAAGTTCTTTATTGGAGAGACTGTAAAGTGAATATTTAAAATGACTCTTGAACGAGATCCACACTCCTTTGCCAGACCAGGTATTTTAATTATTTAATTAGCTACATAAGTATAATATAAACTTAAGAATTTACTTATTTATTTCTTAAAAAATATAAAATAAAAGTTTGTTTAATTAATTTAAATGATAAAACACAAAATTATCGCATGTATACTATATGTACATGCATATCTTTAAACCGTAAACTGTTACTGACAACTAACAAAATTAAATTTGAATTTATTTAAATTAATATAATAGTTTCTCTATAAAATAAAATAAAATGTTAGACTGAAGATTAAATATGCTATAATATATTCTAAGCAGGCGATATGTTTGGTTTAATGATTTCACGTTTTCTACTTTGTCGATCCATAAATCTATTTTTACTGGAAGATACGTGGAGGGAAAGGGGCTATTAAAAGTGAATGCGATTAAAACGAGAGTCAAGTATATTGTATCGTACTTTAATGGTAGCCTCTTACTCAAGAGTACGCCGCAACGACGGCTCGCGAGGATCTTCTGCTCGGAATTTCCCTCGCAATTTATGTTACTATAAAACGGTTAGAAGCCAGAGATCTTCGCATTACATACCCTCGCGAGATTTTCCGCGGCTCACGAATATATCTGGAAAGATTATTAATTGCGCTGTTATTACTTTCGTCGATGAGAAGAAGCCAATCCGACGCAACGAATTACGTGCATTCTAAAATTGGATTGGCTACAAATGTATGCGGAAGAAAGCCCGAAATACAAAATATTAATAATTATACGGATCTCAACTACACCGTAGTAATAATACTATACTAATAATACTAAGGTTTAATTGTAGTAAATGTAATTGTACTAAATGTATTTTATTACAATATCACTAAACGTACTCAAACGTAATCAAATTTTTGTTCACGATATTTGCCCGTGAAATTAGGAAGAAATATTCAGATTTCTTCGAATGCTTCTTTCGATTAATCGCTAACGCTAAACTCAATTTCGAGGCTCTCCCCCACTTCGCGTCTACTTAATTAAAGATCGCTTCTTTTGTTTCTATCTATACTTATAATAACGTTAATCGATATTTCAATCATACCAACACTCCGCTATAGCGCGTCTTCTTAACAAAGATAAATAATCTTGGTGAAAAAAGATACATCGATAAGTGTCATCTGATTCGTCATTATTGATCGATCACTTATTAATTCACGAATATACACTCAGAATAGAGTATAGCATACATCACTTATCAGGTATAATCCATCATTTAATTTAGACTTTTCTCCGCGTGATAGAAATCATTCTCATTACGTTAAAGTGGAATACATTCTGCTTACTCTCTGATAGCTAATGAGAATCGTAATAGTTTACATATTTCGCATCGTATCTGCTTGATGTGTATAACAATCTAATTTTATATAAAATTTGAAAATATGTCACTTTTATTTATATCTAAAACATTTTTCAAATTAATTAGAGATCGATTATCAGAGACACTTATATTTTTGATAACAGTTCGCAGATGTGACTTTTTTCATAAAGAGAAATTATTATCGTTTCATGTAAAGATTCTATTTGCACGATTTCACGATAAATCGCGCGCGACAACCGTTTAATTAGAACAAGAAGAGCGCAAATCTATTCACTCGACAAGTTAGAAGAAACTTGATTTCGTGACTATAGGTCATAGATACCTATTATATCTAATATCGACAAAATATCTCGTTGTAAAAAGTAACAATATTGCAATAAGAGTTTAAAAATTGTAAACAATTTAAGAATTATGAAAAATTACAAAATTATAAAATTGTACGGAAAATGAAAAATGCCGTATCGTCTGACGATCGAATTTTCTACGTACGTTTTACGTGCTTTAACGCGAGAAATACGAGAATTCGTATGCTCATGACTATGGACGAGAAAAGGCTGAATTTACCTCGTCCAGGATTTATAATACCAGTCTCTCTGAAAATATCACTTTCAAGTTTAAATAATGAAGATGAACATTCAATTGAACTAAAAGCGAAGTTACATAAGGAATAATTAAAGCTTCAATTGTAGTTAATAATAAAACGCTCGAATGTAGAATTTGAATTGTTAAACAGCTTTAAGTTAATCGTGATAAAAGTTTTACGAGAAGTGCATCTCGATTGCTTCCTCGATTATTAAACGTATTTTTGATGAGGTTCTGTATATATCCCTTTTATTTATGAACATCTTAAAATTCAACTTTACGTATTTACTTCTGATATCGCGATAACTTTGAAAATTACAGAATGTTCAAATATGGCATTGTTAATTTAAATTCTAAAATAAGATCAAAAAGAACGCAACATGATGTACAATTAACAAAAGCAATTAACAATGAAAATTCGCACGGAGAAAAAATTTCGCGAGCAGAATATATATATATATACCAGATTCCTATAGATTAAATCTAAAGATTAATATTTTGTTCCAGCTCGGTATAAAATTTTATCGGAGCGCCCGAATATATAACGTAACGTTTTAATTAACATACACGCGAAAGTTTCCTTAACAATTCGATTATTTATCTGGCAAAAGCTTAGCAATAAATTATTTGGCACTTTGACCCACTTTGAAATCCCGGTTAGATATATCGCTAAGCTTTTTTTTTTTTAAATACCTTCACGGTAAGTACGATGCTTTCTTCCGTTCGTACCTTAGATCTGCGTCACTTAGCTCGAAGTGCGCAACGTAATTCAGGCCTAATTTCGTTTATCGTTACATCGCTTATACAATTACACGTCGTGAGAAAAGTCCTCTCAACCTTTCTGGTTTGTAAATCAATTTTTTTTCACAGAAATCTCATTTATATAACAAATGGAAAATTCGTCTGGACAGTGTTTTTGAGTGTTTTACATTTTTGCGCCGTCGCACGTTGTTCTGCAGGTTGAGAAAACCAACTCGCCGCACACATATTTATTACACGCGTCTCTCCTTAACTCGACGTAGAGTTTTCAGTAGGAGGGGGGGTTTATTTTAGAAAACTTAATCGTACACATATTCAACTGCGTGACATATATGTTTTAAAGTCTATACATAACATCGTGCGAAATTATTCCCAACCGCCTGGAGCGACCTCTTAATTCATTCGGCTGTACGCACTTACTATTCAACAATTGCATTTCGCTAGACTTAAGTACGTATTAATAATAAAACATGTAGTAAATTTAACATGCATGCACCTGTACACACACACACACACATGCACGCATACATGTGTGTGTATACAGACTTTACATACACCGCGTATGTCGACGCGATCCGATTACAGATTACAATACCGATACATTTATCCGATGATGGATGACCGAACGGGATACGAATGCGGCGCACGCAGGCTAACTATTAATTAGGATATTCCTATAATAAATTTTTTGGCGCTGTTTTTGGCATGATTTAAATTCGTCCGATTTTTCGAATACGTGCTTTATCATCGTTTCTGAACGCAATTTTCGACAGTACAAACGTGCGAGTCGTTGCGCCATCACTACAATACGGAATAAACAATTTGCAAGAATTACTTATTTTGCTTACGTTAGCAGTTTATCGATATATTCATATACTGTATTACACAAAAACAAACGTGTTCGGTTGTGTTTGGATAATAATTCATGTGAAGCCTGACGCTGCATTTATTCCGATGAAACACGGTTGAGCAAATAATCGTTCGATCGCATAAGGTGTCAGATAAATTACTTGGCAAGAGAAAATATATATTTGCATGAACTCTGTGGAGACTCGCGGAGTGCAAAACGAACGACTCAATTTTCCCGTTATCCAGTCCCGTATTCGATCTCTCTACATGTGGTATCGTTTCCGCGCTGGTTGCTTTATTCAGTCTCGCTAATTCCTGCTTTTAACGCGAATGTTGTGCAATTATCGGAAGATATTGACGTGCCGGCGACGTCATCATCTTCTCCTGGAACGTATGGCAGAGCGGGCTAACAAGGGGCCGATTTTTTCGGAATCTTCGTCTACCGGTCGTTTGCTACTGTATGGAACACACAGTCAGATGATGCGATAAAGCGTGGTCCAATAGAATAGGAGTGCCTGCAGCCAATTCTGTACCGGCGTCGGCGCAATCGTCGTCGCAATCGAAATAGTTGCTCTGCAAAAAAAGAAACGGCGAGATTATTGAATTGCAATAGTGCAGTGAAGTATTCGAATTCAATACAAATCAATTAATAAAGAAGACTAAGAAAATCAGTATTAGTAGTAATGTATTTGTTATTAATTATAGTTTTAGGGTAATTCCGGTATATATATACGTCGCGCGAGGATTTATGCCGCAGAAGTCAGAAAAAATAGAAGAAGTAAAAGTAATTTTCTCGCAATCACTCTAAAGGTTATATACCTGTATGTTGTATTAGTGTTGTGTTATGATTTCAGTTTTTTACTGTTAATATTTATAAAATAATTGCAAGTTAAATCGATTTATAACTGTAATAAGTAGCGCAACCATAAGTTATAATCTACATAAAATGATTATTGTAGGAAATATAAAAGGTTTCGTGGTTAATTCGTGGTACATAAGTGTAGAGGAATTGTAAAGAATATATATAGTATAGCAAAATATAAATGCTTAACTTTTTAGATTATTTGTATATTTTTGGAGTCATTTATTTCACCCGTGAGTAGTCATATAACCTATCCATATTTTTATACGACAAAAATGCAAGGGTTTAAAGAATTTTTTTTTAATATAAAAAATAAATATTTTGGATTCTTAATAATTTTTGTCATAGTAGTAGACAGTCTAAAGTTTTTACTGGTATAGTTCATTTACCTTAACCATAATTAATAATACCTGATAAATTAAGTTTTTAATAGGTGCGGCGTATATACCGGAATTACTCTAATATATTTCCTTTTATAAAATAATATATTTTCTTTGTATGATATAGATATACGATAATAAAATATATTGCACACAATATATATATGTATTATTAATATCTTAGTTTATACGTATTAGCATGAAAAATTAATTAATAATTTTTAAATTTTACAGTAGAGATTTCTTTACGTGACGTTGAAAATTTTATAACTGACAACTGAAATTTATAGATTTTTACATTAATAGTCTTGCAATAGTCTTGTAACTGGATGGAATCGAATCAGAATTTTCCGATCGTAGCTAACGAACCTAGAAGTGCAAGCCAAAATGGAGCAGTAAAAAAAGTTCGTTTCCGCGACGAATAATCCATAACAGAATTGTCCAATTAGTACACAAACTAGTCAATATCAACTTCATTTGCGTGAATACAATTGTTGACGTCATTTCTCTGCGGCAATACACATGCGAGATGTAATTGGCTTACAAGAAGAAACAATGGACTGTGAATATTAATTAAATCTAATTTTTCTTGATTAATACTTGCAATAAAATTCTAAATTATCAATTTGCAAATGACATGTAATACTGACAAGCAACTGCGACGAACTATACAATGTGTAAAAAATCTTTTAAAAGTGAAATAACTATATTACTAAAATATTATTAAATATTATTAAAATAAAAAATCCTTTAAAAGTGAAATAACTATATTACTAAAATATGTATCTCATCAAATTCTGCAATTTTAAACTTGAGAGTTAGTAATTTGAAATTGATGATAAATTTTCGTATCTTTATTCTAATAATCTCTAGTTCAAGCAAAGCTCCAGTTTTTAATATTATAAATTCATTAACATATATTCAAAGTTTAGTGATTTTTAGAATAATCAATACCTACATCAAATTTGATGCATCATATATTATGCGGTCATATCTAAGAAAGACTATACGAAGCGTTATAGCATGATATATGTCGTCGTGTCGAGCATAAATCGTAAAAATGATTACCTGGCAATCGATGCACCGGCAGCTATCAGTCAGTGAGCAAGTAAGGCCGAGAATCTCGACAGCTTCCTTGTAAAGCTCGGCGCTCGACTTCCGCCGTCTTGGCGGCGACGTAGGTGCGCTGACGGTGCCGGTACCGGATGGTCTCCTGCTACTCTTCAACCTCGACGAGGACTCTCGAGACAAGGAGGAAGTCGACGTTGATCCCCTCGGCCGATTGTCGCTCGTGAGTAACGCCCGACCTGCCGGGGATGCAAACAGCTGCAGCATGTCCATGTCCTACGGTCATATATTTACTAATTAGATGCTATACATTTGCGTCATGATATTACACGTAACACATAATATGGCAGTCTAATATGTTAGTTTCGTAATACTAAGTATATAACGGTTAATAATTAAAATACACTAGAACGTACACTACGTGTTTTTTATTGTAAAAATTCACGTATGTAGTAAAGACATTTTGTATGTTAAAGATACAACGTATAATAGAGTTTATCTTTTCATCAACTAGGCAATTTAAATTAATACTGTAAAATCCCGTCAATCATACTTCAAAAACTAAAAATGACGTTTCAAGCTTTGTCGTATGTATTATATAATACATGCGATTTTGAATTACATGAATAGTGTCCAGCGAGATTTGTTAAAAATAGCGCTTGTTACAGAATAAAAGGATACTGTGCACCTAACAAGATAATACTCTCAACGCGGATTTCCTTTCCCTATTCGTTTTGGATCACGAAGGATCTTATTCGCAATGCACTCTCAGGCAAAAGACTTTTTTTTTAACAACAGCACGAGAGCATCGCGAGTATTATCACGATGAAAAAATACGTGCCGTAGAGAGTGCTCAGAGATGGAAAAGATGTGTCATTAAAATTGTTACGTTAAACGCTCGGCGCGATGCTCGCGAGCATTACTTTTCATATATGTATACTCTACAATAAAAATATACATAGGATAAAAAATATACATGTATACATATATAGGATCAAAATTTTCTAATGACATCTTTCCGCGCTTTTCGTTCTCGGAGAAGCAGAAGTTATTAAAATTGCGAGATTGCAGAGACGAGAGTGTCCCATTTTTTAATTTCATATTTTAGTATTCTTCTCGAAGGCTGCATCTTCGCAAGTATGTGAGGCAAACATTTTACGGCAGTTCTCCACCACGTTTTTTCGTCTTTCCGCAGCTTCAGATATACTTCAAAAAACTTTTAATATAAACGTGTTATTAAAATTGCAGTGACTGTGCGCCGAACATTTGCTCGCGCATTTTATATTTCGAACTCTTCACGTAATGATCAAACTTCTACATTTGAAGGAAAATTTTAGTCGTTCAACTTGTCCTCGCGTTCCTTGTAGTCAGAAATAAATTGCAGGCACGTCATTAATACGGGACTACGTGCGGTCCTTTGCCACCTTTTGCAAAACTTCTCATGCGTAAGACAAGGGGACTAAACGCCCGAATGCAGACTCGGATGACATTCAGAGAGAGCGATTTTCTTAATTACAAGCGGATCATTAAAAATTGCTCGCTGAAGTGAACGTATTCACGAAACGAACGTGCTTCTACGTTGTAGTAGATGGCCGGAATCGTTTCACCGGAAGAAAATAATTGGGAGAACGAATAATTGAATTCAACTTGTAAAGTTGGCGAATTTCGGACGAAAATATCTCAATTCCCCCTCCCCCCCC